ACATCGAAATACCAAATACTCCAATATAAAAATGGGGTACAGATTTAAACAGAGAATTTTCAACAGAAGAATCTCAAATGGCCGAGATACACTTAACATCCTTCAGTACTAGGGAAATAAAAATCAGAACATCACTGAGATACCATCTTATACCTGTCAGAATGGCTAAGGTCAAAAACACTAATGACAGCCTATGTTGGAGAGGATATGGAGTAAGGGGAACACTTCTCCACTGCTGGTGGGAGTGCAAACTTCTACAGCCACTTTGGAAATCAATATGGTGATTTCTTAGAAAATTGGGAATCAATTTATTTCAAGACCCAGTTATAACAATCTTGGGCATATACCCAAAGGATGCTCAGTCATACCACAAGGACACTTGCTCAACTATGTTCTTAGCATCATTATTTGTAATAGCCAGAACCTGAAAACAGCCTAGATGCTTCTCAACCAAAGAATACATAAAGAAAATGTGGCACATTTACATAATGGGTTATTACTCAGTAGTAAAAAACAATGGCATCATGAAATTTGCAGGCAAATGGATGGAAAAAATCATCCTGAGAGAGATAATCCAGACCCAGAAAGACAAACATGGTATGTACTCATTCTTAAGTAAATATTAGGTGTAAAAAAAAAAAAAAGAAAACCAGGCTACAATCCATATTCCCAGAAAAGATAGGTAACTAAGAGGACATTAAGAGGGATGCATGGATTTTCCTGGAAAGGGGAAGTAGATAAGATCTCCTGGGTAACTGGAGGTAGAGTTGGAGTTGGTGGAGGGGAGGGTGATGGAGATTCCTCTCTTTATGCTGTGAATATGTTATATTACCATTGGTTAATAAAGAAACTTCTTTGGGCCTATTGTAGGGCAGAATATAGCCAGGATGGAAGGGATATATAGAGAGAGTAGGTGGAGTCAAGGAGACAAACACACGGGAATCTTACTGGTAAACCACAAACCTTGTGGCAAATATAAAACAATAGAAATGAATTAATTTAAGATGTAAGAGCTAGCTAAAAATACGTTTAAGCTATTGGCCAAACAGCATTGCAACTAATATAGTTTCTTTATGATTATTTCAGGTCTGGGCAGCTGGGAATGGACAAACAATCTCTGCCCACAGAATGGTACCCAAACATTTGTGGCTGATGCCCACCATCCACTTTGGGTCTAGGTTCTTGTGTGCCCACTGGAGTTGGGAGGAAAGTAGCTGAGATCATGCCCATGGCGCAGCACTCCCTACCAGGTCAGGTGGCAGGATCAAGTATCCTAGGAGTACACAGGCAGGAGATCATGGCTGATTCCCACATCCAGGCCACGCAGTGTGCTGCATGACAGTTTTAGATTTTACTTAGATAAAAAGTGTTTCTATGCTACATGGTGTTATCCAGAGTTAAAGTGACGAGGACAGCTCCCACCTGGCAGTCCCAGAGCCTCCACCATATTAAAAGGCAGAGAGAGGTGGAACCAGCATCCAGGACCACCGCAACTAAGTTGCTTACCATTTTAAAAGTGCTCCTGATCAGAAAATAATTACAGATATGCAATAAAGAAAAATCCAGACACAAATAAACCTCTGAATGGGTCACAGTGTGCTTAAAAATATACATGGGCTTGAGAGAGAGAGAGAGAGAGAAAGAGAGAGAAAGAGAGAGAGAGAGAGAGAGAGAATAGACAATTATAAAAAAATAGTTTTTTAAAGAAAACAATAAGACAAAGTCTTTAAAGAAACAGTATACAGACAGTCATAGATTAAGGAGTAAAAAGAAAACAAGCCATGTAAAGATGAATTATACACGGAGTCTGGATTATATATATTACTGTGTTTTCTTTAAATTTTTTGACTACGGAGAGATTTGATTTTGAAGGCTGCTAAGTTAAACCAACATATATACTTTAAAGGTATCTTGACTTCAAAATTTGGATCTAAGGATATGTTGCTTTGAAAAAGAGGTTCTGCTTTTGTTTCCACAGATAATAAAAAGCTGTGGATTCCTTACTGGCTAATATGGTTTGATCTAATAAGATCCCCTGAAACAATGACCCAAATGGTCCAACATCCATCACAGCTTCAGGACTGCTGGCTGAGATGGATCACATAGGAGACCCCATGATTAACAGCATCCTCAAATCATCAGAAAATGGTCTAAAAAGCAATGCCCGAATTCCCTAAATAATTGTTTATAAGTGTTTGTTTACATTTAAAGGGGGATATGCTATAGAGATAAATGTTTTGCATTGGTATGGCTCTTGGTCTTAAGGTCAATTTTGTTATGTTATGTATATGTATTTCTGCTCTTGATTATGGCATTAAAAATGTAATGTATAATTAAGAAATATAGGTTAATAGATAATTATCTATAATAGTCAAGTTTGTAGTCATGTTAGTTAGGTTTTATAGATGTACAGAGATGTATTTCAGATGGATAGATATTCTTCAGATCTTTCAAAGACTACAGAATATGGCATTTAAAATGTTTTAAGAACTTAGTACTTTTCATGACAATGAGACACATCTGCTCCTGGCAGCACCAATCTACTTCAAAAAGACGATGAACATTGAAGAAACTTGTTATGGAATTTGTCTTCTATGTGACAAAGCTAGTCATTTGGGCAAGAAACTGCGCTTGCCTGGATTGCTTGAGGGTATGCTATATAAACTAGACATGTGGGACCCACAGAATAACAAATGCTGAAGTTGCCTAAAAAAGGTAAGATAGTAAGTCCTTCAGGGTTCTTGCTTCAGACATTCTGCAGGACACAGAAGAATGTGACTGACAAACTGCCAATATAGGCATAACTGTCTTTGAAATTTCACACTTCATGGAAAAATCTGCCAGATACTATGGGCCTGTAGGCTAAAGATGGATGCCCCAATGTTACAGAAGAACTTTGGGTGACTGCCAAGGCAGTGAGCTGTCTCTGTCAATTCTAGTATTTTGGAAGTTGCTTAAAATGCACTTCCTGTTAACTTAGGTTAACTTCTGGGGTCTTTGATGGAGTTAAAGAATAGATAGTTATAATTATAGTTTTCCTTAGTTATGATAAAAGATAAAGTAGATATAAATATTATAACTATAACTCTTGCTTGATAACTATTTTGTTGTATGTAATCTTGCTATGTTAAAGTTAAAACCTTCCTTTTTATTTAGACAGAAAAGGGGAGGTGATGTGGGATTCCCTTCTATATGCTGTGAATATGTTTAATTACCATTGGTTAATAAAAAAGCTGTTTTGGGCCAATTGCAGGGCAGAATATAGCCAGGCTGGAAGTAATAGAGAGAGAGAGTAGGTGGAGTCAAGGAGACACCATGTAGCCACTGAAGGAGATAGACACTTGGGAACCTTACTGGCAAACCATGAGCCTCATGGTAAAACATAAAATAATAGAAATGGGTTAATTTAAGGTGTAAGCGCTAGCTAAAAATATGCCTAAGCTATTGGCCAAACAGTCTTGCAATTAATAAAGTTACTGTGTGATTATTTAGGGTCTGCATGGCCAGGAAACAGGAAGGGATGGGGGGATGGGAACAACAGGGATTGGGTTGGTTGTGTTGGGAGTGGGACAGAGGGGAAAAGTAATGAAAGATAGCTTGATAGTCGAGGCTATTTTGGAGTTAGGGAGAAACCTAGTGCCAGGGAAACTCTCAGGAATGCACAAGGATGACTGTTGCTAAAACTCATAGCAATAGTGGAGAGGGTGCCTGAACTGACCCCCAATAATCAGAATGGTCACTATCTTAATTGTCAACAGAGAGCCTTCATCTAGCAATTGATGGAAGCAGATGCAGAAATCCACAGTCAAGCATTAGTTCGAGTTCTGGGAGTCTAGTTGATGAGACGGAGAAGGGATTGTACAAACAAGGGGGTCTATCATGATGGGGAAACCCTGACCTGAGCCAGTGGGAGCTCCCAAACTCTGGACTGGCAGCTAGCGAGCTGCATGAGACTGACCTAGGCTCTCTGCAAATGGATAACAGTTATGGAGCTTGATCTGTCTGTGGGGCACCTAGCACTGGGATCAGGACCAGTCCTTGGTGCATGAGCTGGCTTTTTGGTACCTATTTCCCATGCTGGGTTGTCTCACCCAGTCTTGATGTGGGGGTGGAGGATGTGGGGAAGGGAGGAGATGGTCCTTCCTCAACTTGATACGACATGCTTTGTTAATCCCCAAGGGTGGAGGAGTGGATGTGTGTGTGTGGGGGGAATAGATGTGAGGTGGGGGGGAGGGAACAGGAAGAGAAGAGAGATGGGAAACTGTGGTTGGTATGTAAAATAAATAAAAAGATTTAATAGAAAATGTGCTAAACACCACAAAAAAAGATTTTTATCTAGTTATTTGTAACTGAGCTTCTGTCTGGTAGCATTGAAAACCAGCTCCTGGCTTCATCCACTGAGATATACCATCCCTCCAGGAGCCTTGTCTCATATTCAGCAAGTGTGTTGTTCTCTTTTGTCATCTCACGGGTTTGTGTGTGTTTGTCCTTTAGAGGCCTTGCTTTCTTGGTGTCCTCTGTCCCCTCTGGCTCTTACACTCTTTGTGCCTCCTCTTCCATGGGGTTCCCTGAATTCTAAGGGCAAGTATTTGAGTTATTTCAGGGTTTAAATGGAGGTCTATCCTAGGACTCTAGTCTTCATGAATGTATTCCAGTAAGTGCTACACCATAGCTGTGATGTCTGATTTCTACATACTCTACTGCCAGAGTCCCTGGCATCCCACTCTATGCTTAAGCTAAATTTTCTGCCAACCATCAGTTTTTCTCTCCATTCACTGTCTATATTGGTAGGACTATTGAGATGTAAATAAGTCCTGGTTCCCCAGAGACTTAGCCATCTCAATGCTGGATTCTTACTATAAGAGTAACTCAAATGGTATCTTAGTAATACTCAAATAGTATTTTATCTGAAAATGTCTCACTCAAACCAGCAAAGCAAATTTAAAAATGCTTCCTTAAACATATATCTGTCCTTGCAATAACATAAAACTACTTCATACCTGTTTGAGTAAAGCCTGCTTTGTATCCATTAGCTGCTCCATTTTCTGGAGCCACAGTTGATGGCACTGAAGGAATAGGTTTAGTGGAGTGGCAAACAGCAGAAGATTGTCGGCTTCTACATTCTGGAAGGGAGTAAAAACAGATAGGAAGAAGGTAGTTTTTATTTTACTGGCAATAGGGACTAATCCATAAGATTTCTGAACAAATCTCTGCTTCTTGAATGGTGGCAGCTTCCCTAATTATTGTTCCAATAGTCTGTGCAGACTGGTAAGTTCTTCCTAAGCCAGATGATATGTTTAAGGCAAAGAACTAGCACAATTCTATGGCTCACAGATTAGTTTCCACAAGAAAAGTGCCAATAACCAACACTGTCTTGTTAGTTTTATGGGTAAGACAGAGGCGAAAATGTCAATAATTATAAAAATATATTGAGCTTTTGGGATACCATGTAACTTCTTGTTCATAATTTATTTAAATATACAATAGCAATTTTAATCCATCTAGTCTGCTTCCAGACGTTTCTACTCAATTTGAATGAATATTCAAACACCAGAGAAATAAAAACTGTATAGATAAAGATAAAAATTAGAAGCAAATTATTATTACTATTATTTATTTACTTTTTTTTTGAGATAGGGTTTCTCTGTAGCTTGGAGCCTTTCCTAGCACTCGTTCTGTAGACCAAGCATGCCTTAAACTCACTGACTTCTGCCTACCTCTGCCTCCTGAGTGCTGGGATTAAGCAAATTATTATTACTCTCAATTCTTATTAAAGGAAATAGGTAAGAAATTATTGATAATGTAGTGGCAATATTTACATTAAGTGTCTGATATTAATGGGGTTTGTTAAGTTGGGAGCATAGCCCCCAGCCCCTGGCACCCATCCCAGACTCCCTGGCCTGGGAGTTGCTTTGGTCTGGACTCCAAATCCCAGCATGCCAGGTCCTAACTCCTCCCCCGGGATGGGGTCAGGACCACTTCCACAGGATATTTAAATGGGTTCCCAGAGGAGAAACACGTGGTTTCGGGTTTGCATGGGCTCCCTGCTGTCTTGTCTCCTGCCACCCGAGAGCGCCTTACTTAATAAAACGATGGGCATTTTGATTTGGTTTTATTTGACTTTATTGGACTTTTTTTTTTTGCCGGCAGAGCTGCCCTTTTCTTATTTTTCCTTAACAGGGCTCTGATATGATTGTTATTGTACTGTGTGCTGATTCAGTGAACACTGTGACAGTCTCTTGGACTTCAAGTTCCAGCTAAATTTACCATTACTAGTCTCAAAAAGCAGCACGTGAACTAGAGATGTAAATGGCTGTATGACAGGATTACAAAGGTTCTAAAGAAAGTCTCCGTGGGAATGAGACATGCAAAGGTCGAAGCACCCTACACTATGACCTTCTCAAGGGATTGTATTACATGTATATGTGCATATCGATATTATGTGATGTTGTATAGGTAAATAATACAATTTAAGTTCCAAAATAAAAACTGCGGTAAATATGAGCCTACTTTAAAAAACGGCCAGTGAGTCAGGCAATAGTGGCTCACGCTTTTAATCCCAGCACTCAGGAGGCAAAGGCAGGCAGATCTCAGTGAGTTTGGGGCCAGTCTGGTCTACAAAGCAAGTTCTGGGATAGCCAGGACTGTTACACAGAAAATCTCTGTCTTAAAAAAAAAAAAAAAAAGGCCAATGAGGTGGCTCAGAGGGTCAGAGGGCAAAGGTGCTCACCAACAAGCCTAACACAGAAGTTTGTCCCTGGAACAGTGAAGGGAGACACTAGAAAGAGAAATTCTCTTAGCACCAGGAAGTTAAACATATTTATACAAGCAAAACAAAAGCTAAGGAAAAACGTTAGAAAAAATAGAGATATGGCATTTATCAAGTTTTTAAGGTTTATGGTATTCAAGAAGACTTTCTAGAGGAAAATTCTTTAACTTTTACCAGGATAAAGAACTATGAATGAAATTCTTAAGGTTCAGTCGTTGTGAGATTGAAGCTCTGATCATTTCTTTCCTGTGGTGTTATACAATGTTCCTCAAATGGAGCTGAGAGTCATTATGGTGGAGGACTCCATATGCTCCTGGAATTTGGATTTATGCTATTCTATAGTTAGACACCAAGCAATTACTCTGTAGAGAAAAGTTGTCAGCGTCAGAAGAAACTGCTTTAGGACAGTGATTAAACCATGGTGATTCCCACCAAGCACCTGAGGATGTGACTGCCTACCAAGTAGCCCTCTAAACTGCTGCTAATTACAAAGAGACACAACTGCCAACCCACTCATGCACTTCCTCAGGCATCCAGAAGACTGGATTGCTTATTTGAGGTATGTTTTTGGTAAAATAAAAATAGAAAAAAATGTAGATTGGTGAGAATTACTGACAAACTGAAATAAAGCAAAGAGCACATTTTACACTCAGGAAAACGAAAAGGCACCGGGATTTATTTCCCAACCCCAGAGCTGCAAGTGCTCTCTAAAGACAAATCTAGAGACTTGCTCTTTCCTACACTCAAAGGCTCCAGTTAATTATAACAAGGGATAAGTCAAACAACCTCCCAAAGACTTCCCATTTTTGACCAGCCTTTTGAACTTGAGCTGTTTACCTATCCCACACCTGTACACTGAACCCTGTGAGGGTCACTGGTCACCACCCAGAGCCCTTTCCCTCCCTCTTCCCCTCCCCCGCCTGGAATCTGATTACCTTTCCAGCAGATGAGAGGTCCCTTTGCTAGCACACCCTGGGAGGTCCTGACTAGGTAGTACTTCAAGTGCTTCTGCTTCTTCGGCTGGGTGGTGAGCTTCAAGTTAATGTGGTTGGAAAATTCCGTGAAATATCGAAACCCTCTCTCTCCACAACCAATACAATTTCCAGAAAACCCTGAAATGGGGAAAGTCAAGGTTACTAGTGGCCTTGTACGCTGATGCACTACTTCTAAATGCAAAAAGTATAAAAATATTCATAGTCTATGAACCAAGAGTGTCTCAACTATTCAGAAATACTTTGGAAGAGGGAAGAAAACAAGGTAAGGTTTAGTGCCCCCCACACCATGCGCTCCATCTTTCCATCTTTTCTCTTTTATTTTAAATTCTTCAGATACAATTGCAAAGAAACCAATGTTTGTAAACTGGTATTTTATGTTCAAAAGAATCAAGTAATTTAAGATTGCTCCAAGACTGTTATTTAACATGAAATTCACAGTCAAATTATAGTAACAGTAGAGTCATCTTTAACAGTAAGAGACTGGGAATAAATTAAATGCTACTATAACAGGATAATGGCTAAATGAAAAGTATCATGTGACAGAATTTATATAGTATACAAAGACAGGAAAACTGGCTGGGGCCGAGGACTAAGATCAGAGATAGAATGCCTAGCTTCAGAAGACCAAGTCAGAGGTCCAGCATTGAGAAGGGGAAGGAGGAAGAGGAAGGAGGGAAAAGGGGAGGGATGGAGGGAGGAGGGAGGAGAAGGAGGGAGGAAGGGAGTACGGAGAAGTGGAGCAGAAGGAAGGGGGAAAAAAAGAGAAAGAAATTTTTGTCCTAAAGCTCTTCAGTCTCTTCCTTTCTTTTTTCTTTCATTTTTTCAAGATAGGGTTTCTCTTTATAACAGTCCTAGCTGTTCTGGAATTTGCTTTGTAGACCAGGCTGGCCTCAAACTCACAAAGATCTGCCGACCTCTGTCTCCCAAGTGCTGGGATTAAAGGCCTGAGCCACCACTACAGTCCAGCCTGGGGGTGGGGGGTGAATGTCAAAGACTATGATATGTCTAAATGGAAACAGCTTATGAAACCTGTCACTTTATAAAATGAATAAACAATAAAAACTTTAACAAAATATCACTGCTTATTTTTTCATTACTTAAAAATTATGTAATCATTAATTACTTGTTGTTTATTATTCTAAAAAGTTTTTTTTTAACCTTGTGGCTCCTACTGCTGGTTCTCTGCATGGTTCACCACAGCGTCTTGTTCCCAGAGACAAGTAAGTATCTGGTCCAAGATGGGACAGTTAGAATCTCTCTTGTAGAATTTTATCTAGATGGTACTGGACCCTAGATTTGCAAAGGTTTGTAAATTGGAACCCATATGTGGTTGGTTCCAACTACACATGAACTCTGGCTTGGGGAGAATAAGCTGAGAGGAGGTTGAGGGCCGCATAGGCAGAGCTGAGCTCCTGGACACTGCTGGTCGTGTGAGAGCTAAACACAGCTCTATGAAATTCCCCTTTTTTCTTTACTCACCTGAGCTTCTTTAATCTTTTATACTGAATGTCTGAACAATCCCTTAGACCATTAAACAAAATAAGACTCTCAGTGGCCTGGCTGGAGCAGATGTGACAGGAGGAAATGGAGAAAGCTGGGAGGTTAAGAAACACCATGTACTGCTTTATGAAAAATCAGCCATTTAATACAAAAAAGTCAGCTCCTTTAATACACAAAAGATGGAAGGACCAGTAAGACAGCGAGTTCCTTTCCTCACATCTGATGAGAATAGAACACACATACTGTCATACAGATAGATGAACAAAGGGTGAAGACAAAGATCCCTGCATCCAGTATAAAGACCTGTCTACAATAACTGAAAAGAAGACTGCTGACAAACTGGCACAATTTTCAAGCCCCTAAACCATATACATTAACCATATATATTATAATTGGCATATATTAACAAGGATAAAGATAGAAAGGCCACACGAATAAAAAGAACATTTTATAATATCTCCACTGGAGAATACTAATAATTCAAAGCATTTATTTATTTATTTTTATTTATTTATTTATTATAGTATACAATATTCTGCCTGTGTGTATGTTTACAGGCCAGAAGAGGGCACCAGACCCCATTACAGATGGTTGTGAGCCACCATGTGGTTGCTGGGAATTGAACTCAGGACCTTTGGAAGAGCAGGCAATGCTCTTAACCTCTGGGCCATCTCACCAGCCCCCTATTTATTTTTTTTAAATATTTATTTATTATGTATACAATATTCTGTCTGGGTGTATGCCTGCAGACCAGACCTCATTACAGATGGTTGTGAGCCACCACATGGTTGCTGGGAATTGAACTCAGGATCTTTGGAAGAGCAGGCAATGCTCTTAACTGCTGAGCCATTTTTCAGCCCAATTCAAAGCATTTATAAACATCCAACCATCCAACCCTCCAACTACACATTTAGCCATCCATCCATCCATTCATCCATCCATCCATCCATCCATCCTCTATCCATCCATCCATCCTCTATCCATTCATCCATCCTCTATCCATCCATCCATCCATCCACCCATCCTCTATTCATACATCCATCCTCTATTCATCCATCCATCCTCTATTCATCCATCCATCCATCCATCCTCTATTCATCCATCTTTCATCTTTTATCCATCCATCTTCTATCCATCCATCTTCCATCCATCCATCCATCATTCCATCCATCCATCCTCTATTCATCCATCTATCCATCCTCTATCCATCCATCATCCATCCTCTATCCATCCATCATC